TTGATACAGCTTTGCCGTGAATCAAGTTTAAAAGCAACCTGGATACACTCGTAACACATCTTCCTTATTCCAGTTTCCCGGTGATTCTCCATCGTGTGAAGTCACCCTAGCATTGTCTTTGGGACATGCCCTAATCAGGAACCCCACTACATTCCACAGCAACTTCCCTGATCAGGACGCACCCTCTTGTCCTGTTGCACTCGTTTTGGGTGACACCTCCCTTTGGTTCCAGATTGAAGACGACCGCAGGCCCAATTTGATGTCCATGATTGTAAGACCTTTATCATTATGTCTTCACAGCTTCATCCAATTCCATTGAATCGTCAATATGGTACATCGATTTGCCCACCTCTTCCTTAAGTTTTGTACACCACAGTTTTCAAAATTAAAGAGGAGCGACCGACAAGGGCAAGCTACAGATTTCCATAGCACTGCTCGTCAACGCACAGAAAAGTTTGTTAGAGTGAAACTTTCAGACGAGGATTCTTTAGCATTCTCCTTAATCAGCGAGACGTCCTTAGTTCAGCTCACTACCTTTTCCGAAATCATAGTAGCAAAAGCAGGGAGGATCTGCGGATCCAAAACGAGCAAAACATTTTCTTTGACTCTAACTCCAGAGGTCAGTCGAAATGGAATCTGAGACTCTTCTGAGACTCTTCTGGAATCTTCTGAGACTCGCATGGCAGTAGCCAGAAGGTTTGGTGGAAGTGAAGAGCCAGCAAGGCAGCCATTTTAGCCATAGCATAATATGACAAGGGTAAGCGTACTAGTCGTAGGTCACGGTCTTAGTCAGTGAAAGATATGATAAGATATAAGTGCCTTCCCGCAGCTCTACTTTGATTAGATATGTATGCTTTCCACAACTCTACCTCGATTAGATAGGGTGGCCCCTCACCTCGAGCTACATTTTCACCGCCTTGACTTTATAAACTAGGGAATATAAATATGTTGGCTTCCACTAGCCCTGCATCCTCGTAAGGCAATTATCGCCCAATCTGCCTGCTGTCTGTAATCTACAAGCTATTCACTCGAGTCATCCTTAACAGGATCGGCAGAATACTAGATGAAGGACAGCCATGCGAGCAAGCAGGGTTTCGAAGAGGGTTCAGCACGATCGACCATATCCACACGGTTACAAGACTCATTGAAGTTTCACGAGAGTACAAGATGCCGCTTTGTCTCACGTTCATCGACTTGAAGAAGGCCTTCGACTCTGTGGAGACAGAAGCGGTCATCGAAGCCTTGGGCAACCAGGGCGTCCCTACTCAGTACATCAAGATTCTTCGTGAGCTCTACAAACTACGCCAACGATCGAAGATCAGGGACGCTGCCGTTTTCGCCAAGGAATCGAAGATAAGGTGGGCCGGACACGTCATGCGATTTTGCGATGACCGTTGGACCAGAGCGGTTACCGACTGGATCCCTCGGGACGTCAAACGAACACCTGGACGACCGCCGGCCCGATGGTCAGACTTCTTCACGAAAGCTCTGAACGAAAGGAATGAAGGACATCGTGTCCCTCGAGCGAGGAGGGTCCACTGGACAACTCTTGCACGCGACAGGGACGAATGGAGACGTTGCTGGCGCCCGCTCGAGCAATTCGATGATCAACGGGACGACAGTCAGTGTATGGATGCCGACAAGCGAGGAACTGGACATAACGATTGGATAACGATGTAACTTTTGCACGTTAATCACTCAGCTGCTGCCACCCTTTCTAGAGGTACAGGGGAGAGAGGAAAAACATGCAGGTGCACGTCGTACGTGAGGCTTCGCAAATGCCACGTATGCCGAAATCGCGGCAGTACCAGCACCCCGTGATCAGCGTCCTGCTCCCTCACTAAGGGGAACTTCTCTAACGATCTAATCGCGACCCGTGCTTTTCAGTTTTACTATATATTTATTCAATCGAATTTATTATTCAATCAAACGAATAATAGATTGCATGGCTCGTTGGGTGACACGGTGAACTAATTTGCCCCAGAAACTTCAGTATCGTTTCTTTTTTGCATCGATTCTCTTTCTATCGCTTTTTCTATTCTTAGCACACATTGTGATCTTGTCGCCAGAGTCACCATTAAACATTCTTCGCAGTGATTCGTCAATCGTTCAAGTTCGCTTATTGGCCAGATGTACGCAACGGGATTTTCGGTGGCTGCGTGCCGCTTCCATGTCAACACATACAAATTTTAAGTTTTCAATCTTCATTTGTTATCCACCCTGAGAAGATGGAATCCCACCGCTGTTGGTGGAAAAAGCTAGTTGATTATGAAGCCTTCCTTCAACATTCACTTACGTGAGAATTGTTCCTGATGCTACACCGCATACTCCACTCGGCGAACCTTCGCTGTCCAATGCTATTTTACAGCTTTCATCAACAGGTATAGAATCATTCTATAAGAAAAATTCTGAGCAGTCCCTGACTTGGCTGAAAGAAAATGCGCATGGAGAACGTGTTTCACGTCAGCTCAAACGAAAAGCTTACGTCATGTTTCGTGGACACACACATGTTCACCTAGAGCATATATGGCACATGTTCACCTGGAGTACTTCTGTATAGCAGAAGTACCAACTGTGTACGGTGGATCTTACTTGTGCTATAGGGGCGAGACACAACCGAACAAGAGTGACAGACAGTGGCGGGAAAATGAAGCGTGGGTATTACCGGATTCGTTATATCTTCAAAACCAAACCAAAATGGCCAAGCACATGCAGGCGAATTATAAGTTGGATGAGGAAGTGCAAAGTACCCAATGAATGCTGCCACTAACAAGTCATGAATATTAAATTGTCAACAGCTGATAGCAACTGCGGTGGCATTTGCTATTTGTTCATACAAGTGACCTATTACCACTACAACCAAATTGCTAGAGACAATAGGCTTACCAACTGTGCATATTTCATCGGGTCATGTTTTCGAAAACTTCGTGAGTACAGCCTTTGTTTACGTAGAAGTTTTCAATGTTCCGACGTGCTATTTGCAGAGCTTATAAATTCATGCTTGTGGTGACATGCGTAGAGAGTAAATTGCCATGCTGGGTAGTTATGAGCTATTGCTTAGTACTGGTGAGTACAAAAACCTAAGTGCCAGATAAGGGAGCTACTAGCGTTAAAACGCAAGTGTCATCAACACTGGTTTGCTAGACGTAGAGCGGAATGCTGGCGGAGGAAGAAATTGAAGAAAAACCAATGTGGCGCAAATCCCTTCCGCGAAAAACAAGACGCATGTCCACAAGACCTTCTTAAAGGGGAGTCCAATTACTCGGTACCTGAGTGCACGGCTGGTTTACTCATCATCTTCCACAACTTAGGAGTACCAGTTGTGGTACACGGCAAACGCCAGAACGGCTTATCCCTTTCCGGTTGCTTATACAAGCCTGTTGTACACACTCAACAGACCTTCGATCCGGTGGTGCTGACTTCCAGCCTCCATAGTCAGCCAACCATGAGAGTGACTTCTTGACCAGGGGACATAGACATCAAGCAGCATAAGTATAACTATTTGTACACGAATCAACACATCAGTATCCTCTCCTTCTTCATGGAACCGCATACTTGGACGTGGTCGGACCAAAGCCCACATTAGTATTGAGGTGTCATTCATGATTGAAGTCCTTCCTTTTGTGCAGACGCCGCTACCACTACTTAGGGCCACCAGATGGAAGAAATACCGAAGCGAAAGGACGTAAAGATTGCGCAGGAAATGGGACCGGCGATTGACGCCGGAAAACAATCGGGTAGTAACCAGTTAACAAGGGACCAACCCCATTGGAACCCATATGGGCGGACCAATGCGATTTTTTCGCTTGTCTGCCGCGTCGGACCGCGCCTTTTTTGACATTTTCGAAAAATGTGTCATAATGCGGCTAACCACCTGCACCAAAAATGTTGAATCTTGAAGCATGAACTGTTAGAACTTTGCAAGTTTCGTATGATTGCAGACCGCTTCCAAAATGAGCGTAAATCTTTAGGTTTTGCCGAGGGTGTATTTTGGAGCATGCCAGAAAAACTTCAAATCTCCCACTTTAAAACCCGTAAATGAGGTCGGATCCAGATCTCTCTTTGTGAAATGTTGTAGCATTACTCTAGCTGACTCCAGGCGAAAAGCCAGCCGGATACATTCAAAAATAACAAGCTTTGCCTTGGAAAATCACTTTCAAGTACCGCCTCGTGTAAAACATCAACTAAGGAAGATATGCACTGACCATTAATACCGTAAGTATGACAACGCCTTCCTGATTAGTATGCTATAGGAACACTTCTGGAAATCCTGCGGAGAAGAGTTATCTCAATGCTGCGTCCCCACATCGAGCCGCATTGTCCGTCGTGGCAAAAAAAAAATGTATATGCGGTCCCCGGCGGTCGAGCCGCAAGTGTCGCCCAAATGGGTAATATCCCAAGACACAGGTTCACACCACCCTCATACAGATGTTTAGGAAGATTAACTAAGCGAGAACTACAGGGCAAAGCGAAATGCTTCTTGGTGGGCTTTGATTGATATTTACTTCGGCCTCTCGTTGGATATCAATCCAAAATTGGCGACGTAGTAAGACAGGCGTAGGTCGAGCGAATATTCAGGTAATACGAAATACGAAGGTGACAGGACCTTCAAAACACGATCGGAATCAAAGAATGCTACTACCTTATACGTACATCCGAGTACGGGGTTAGGTGTCACATAAGGCATCACGTACATAGCCGCCGAATAAAAGAGGTTCAAGCCCTCTGAGAGGAAATAACCGAAAAACTGATACCTGTAAAACAGGATTTCATAAGAAACCATATTTAAGAAAATTTGGGACATAATAAATAAGCTAACCTTCCAAAACCATACGCATCGAGTACTTTGTCCGGATCAAGACCTCTGTAACGGACTGGAGAACTATTCGGGCTACTTATCACTGCGTTGTCTACACGCCGTTCGTCGACGTCATCTCTTTTTGTGTTACTCAACTGCGTATCGACACTGCCAGTTCGCGTATTCTCCGTCTGCAAGAAAATGTACTGTACTTCAACGAAAGTCACTGCAACCGGTTAAGATCAGTAATTAGCCTACTTACCATCGCTACGAATGAGTTCGAATGAAACAGGACTTCCGATTATCAACTCCGGCATCATATCTATGGTGGGATAAATGCTCACTATCTGAACATGGGCGCTCATGTCCTTAGGGGGGACATTGGAGTGGGTGGACCACTGATAAAACTCAGGACTAAGCTTCAGGGAAGGGAAAGAAATTGTGAACATGTATTGCTCCAATTTTTAGCAAACCGACTACGGCGGTCATTCACACGTCCTCCACTCGCTATCGCTACAGTGGCATAAGAATTTAGACGCCAATGTGAACATTTGCGTTCATTCAACGGCTGTTTCGTGGCTCCGCGGAGGAACGTGTTGCCCTCGCTTTGACGCGATGCGCTGTCTCTTTATGTGTTTCGTGTGGTAGTGCGCACCAAATGTTCAAGTTCTCAGCATTAGTATTTGATATGGGAGTCTCATACAGGGAATGGGCACTACGCTTTGGACCACCCAATGCGTTCACAACCACGACCAACTTCTACTATGGCACATCTAAGGCTGAGCCTCAGGGAGGAGGGAATGATTTGAGAGCGCGTAAAAAGTTCTTCTTTTCCCCCGGAGTTCCGCCCCTCCAGGCTTGGTACTCCATAAACCCTAATTCTACTCACAGTAGTTTCTTCTCGTCATAAAGTATAAAAACCCGTACCGCACACAAGAAAATCAAAGAAGTGGTGTACGAATGAAGCCCCCGACGGTTGGTAACTTCAAGGAAATCCTTGTGCCAGAATGACATTAGCGTAGATTATTCACCGC